TCGAGATCTGATTGGCCGAATATCTGCTACCTCCTGACGACGCCCTTTGATTATATGGAAGTTCCTCTGTCTGGGAAGAAGTCCCCGGGAGACGTTTTTTCATCAAAATCAAAATCGAAGAGGAAAGGAGTTCAAGACTTCGAAGGCTTGGAGCACCTGCCGCAAGGCCGCTGCAAAGCGAGTGTACGACACGACCTGCTATACACTGCTCATAGAAGGGCTATCGGTACCCTGCCACCGACACCATGACCGTTATTTGTAGCCAGAACACTCTGCTAGCCGGCAAGCCATAACCGGGCGGGCTCGTTGGGTGCTTGAGGAGAAAATGCCGATCGTGACAAGCGGTGAACGGACTGACGATCAGAACAGGGCTACGCAGCTTTTACGGGCTGTTCTGTGCGGGAGAGGGTAGTTGCAACCTTTTTTCTCCACACTCACGATACCCCAAGGCATCTAACCTTGTACGAGAAAGATGGTGGGTAGAGCTACCTCCCGTCGGGTGGCATTGCTAATGCTGTTGCTTCCTCCTTCGAAGAGTAATCGCTGAAACACTAAACTGTGAGCAGACATTCGGCGCGAACTTGAACTAACAGGTCTCTGACGTGGATATTTCAGGGTCAACCAAAAATATTTTCCCTATACGCACGATACCCCACGGTAGCAGACCTTGGGCTTGAAAGATGGAGCAGAGAGGTACCTCCCGCCGCGTGGCGTTGCTGTTGCTGTTGCTTCCTCCTTCGGGAATCAATCGGTGGATAACCACCCCCATGGCGGCCCAAAACCCCGAACTTGAAGTGCCCGCTCGCAACCGTTGGCATTTTTGCTTCAACATACCCTTTTTTTTCCGGCGCATTCGGGACCTCACGGCGCCAAACCTTGGCATTGCCCAACAGCCCATGTTACCAGCTTCTTCCGGATACCGGTCTTGAGGCAACTCGTTGAGTGTTTGGCGAGATATCGGCTAACACGTGAACAGAAGAGCGCAAACCCATCCTAGAAAAATCACCGCTTCGCTGCTGGCTCTTCCCCTGGCGCCAGGTCTTTTTGATTTTTTGCCTCATCTGTCTCCTATCCTCGTTTACACACACGACCCTCTTTTGTCAGTTTTCCACGATAACGCATTTTGATTTTGATTTTGTGCCCATTTGGGTTTGATTTTTGGCACTTCGTTGATACACGGCCTTAGCCCGTTGACCTCGCACCTCGCACCCCCACAATGCCGGAGGGGGGGGGGCGCGGGGGGGGTGTACTCATAGTTGTGCATGCCGTAGTCGTTAGACCATTGACCTCGCATCCCTACAAAGCCGGGACGGAGCACGCCGGGTTTTCACCGGACCAGGCTCTCACATCACCAAACGCGAAGCGCCGTGAGATATTCGGCGAGTCGCATGAAGGGTGCGCTGCATCCTGCTAAGGGTGTTCGGCATCTTGTGCTTACTTCCTTGCGTACGGATGACAGCTGCGTATGTATGACTTATTTTCTGGTGCTTTCACTTCCAGAGACAGTTGTAAGCACTGTGTAACTGCCTCGAGGGTGCTTGACCATTTTAACACAACGTGGTGCGATCATCCCCCTTGCGCGGAGTGAGGGTTCTCCACCTCGCATAACATGATATACTCGACCACCATTGTAGTTCCCGCCAAAAAAAAAAAAGAGGTACAAAAAACGGTAACCTATTTGCCGAGTTTACGAAGTGACGGGAGAGGGGGCGGGGGGGGTACTATTTTGTTTGCCTACCCCCCTAACTTGAGGTATTGTGCACGCGTCCCTTTCGAGGCGGGACGTGTTTCTTGTTTCCCTACTAAAAAAGCACGGCAAACTTATTAAGGGGAGGGAGCGTGCTTGAGGAATATGAGGCTCGAAGCGATACGGTAAGGAGTCGCTCCGAGCTTGTGCCAAGGCAATTTTTTTGGGCTCGCTTGAACTCACGCCTACCCGTTCCCCCCCCGGGGGGGGGTCGGGGGAGGAAGGGAGGGGTGACGCAATAATCTCTTTCGATTTGCTTGCACCGCTCACGTCCCTCCCCACTCCCTTCACGAAAGTGACCCGTGGCCATCCATGAAACAAACGTGCCTCCGCCCCCTCCCAATAGCCTCAGTATACTTCGCCGCCATCTCGAATCGAATTTTTTGTTACCACCACCACCGTTTCCCACCTCCATCTCGAAACGAAAGCCTTCTTACCCCCCCCCCCCCGCCCTTTCAACTACGGGACCCCCAAGATTGCGGCCATACAAGAACGCGACCGGAAGAACGTGTACGACCTATCGGTGTCGACCAACCTCGAGGAGGTCGGCACGCCGAGGTTTGCGGCCAAGCTCGACGAGCTGGGGCGGCCGTGCGACGTCGACGACTTCGGGGGTCCCGCCGGGGGGGGGGAGGAGGGCGAGTTCACCGGCTCCTTCTTGGAGACGGGGGTGAGTCTTGCTCGTTGGTCCGATGGAGTTGTTTCCCTCTTGGTTGTGGATCTGTTTTTGCTGTGCTATGGTCTGTTTGTGGCGGTGCGGAGCGTTAATGTTGTTGTTTGGTTACGATTTTTTTCGTTTTTTGCCTGTTTCCGCACTTGCGCCGATGGTAGGAACAGGTGGCGGCTCGTGGACCATCTCTATTTCAAGCTACAGCAGTACGGCAACACGCATGCTTCAACCGCTTGTCTCGCTTCTCTTTCCCTTGTCTTTTTTGTTTTTTTTCTCCTGTTTTCTCTACCCCGTGTCCCTTCTTTTTTTTTTGTAGGTTGGGGAGGAATCTTGCGGCACCCCGGAGATATCGTCGAAGGCCCTCTTCCTTTACAACCGCGGGGCGGGGAAGGCGAAGCCACCCCCCGCCAGCACCAACGACGAAAACGACGACGACGACGACACTAGCAGCAGCAGCAGCAGCAGCAGCAGCCCGGTGGGAGCAGGGGCGGCAGTGGCGTAGTCTCCTCTCAATTAGAAAAGCAGGCGAATGAAAATGTCCGTGTGCACAAGGCTCCGCCCCAGGAGTAGTCGGCGGTGGAGCTGGTCCCCTGGCTGTTTGGGGGGGCGGGTGAACTCACCTTTTTGATGGCTTGGTTGTTAGACCATGGACCATGCGTGCTTCAGAGGATGGACCATGGCTGCATGGGGGATGGAGGGGCGCTTTTGTTGTCGTTTCCGGGCTATATGGCGAAGGGGGTCCCTGATGTTCTTGCCACGGCGCCCCCGCGATGGTTGACTTGCCCTGAGTCGAAGATGACTTGTTGTTTGTGGTACGCGACGGCGCCGCGTGCGGTCAGGTCTCAGTCTGTTGGGGGCCCAGGTTCAATTATATCGTGCTTTGTCGTGCTGTTTCTCGGCAGCAGTGACAGCGACAGCGGCGGCGGGTACAGCGTGGGTGTGTGAACTGTTGGTGGCTGTGGCGCGTCGTCTTGTGGTTTCACCGGGGGACACACACCACTTCTTAAGTGGCGAGGGAAGGGATTGCTGTACACTTCTCGCGATAAAAATATCGCACGAGGGGGTCCAACCCCCCCCCTCCTATGTGACCCCGGTTGGGTCGTCTAGCTGGTAGAAGTGGAGGATAGGGGCCAGAGGGGCAGACGACAGTCCAATGATGGGAGAAAAATAAAACAACAAAACCACCAGCCGTGAAGGAGAGACGATTGCAGTGGCATTTTTATCGCGCTATTTTGTTGCGCTCAATCAAGCCTTGTGCTGTATCCGAGGTAAGAGCGGCAGGAAGAGAGCGCCTCGCTCACTGCTGTTGCTCACCCGAAAACTCGAGTGCATTTGGTGTTCGAATGGAGGCCCTCGAAGAGGACGAGGACTCGTAACCATGAACCGCTGCGGTTGTCCTCACCTTCCGTGAGCACCCGAGCGCTGATTTGCGTCGCCACGGATTTCCAAGACGGAGAGATTTTAAGAAGCAAAAGCACAGCAACGACGGCTGTGCCCTTGTGCCCGGAGGGGGGGGGTAGCCCTATCATTTTATGGCGGATGGGGGGGGGCGATAGGACGCGCAGGGGGGGCTTTTGCTTTTGTATCAGTTTTCGATTACATGGAAGCATGGTTGTGCGGGCGGCGTGCTTACCATCACGGCCGCGAGTAAGGGGTATGTGATTTTTTCCGTTACGCGCACGCCGGATCTATCTTTATCCTTGTATTGTGCGGTTCATTTTTTTTTTTTGTGTGTGTAGTTTTTCGAGGCCGTGTATATAGCCACACGGTTTCTTACTGGTCCGTGGTACCGACGAGAATGTTTTTCCCTCGAGAAGGTCAATCCCATGTCCGTTTCTGTCTCTGTTTCGGGTCTACGAAACCCACCGTACGGATAAATAACGCAAGCAACGCATGCGGCTTGGGGTGTGTGCTCGACATGGTGAACTGTTTGTGTTGTTCCTTTTTTTTTTTTTTTGCCCGTCGTCCTTGACTGGATTACCCTTTGAATCCGTGAAAATCGTAAATAGCTATATTTCCTTCTGTGGTAGTCCCGGCGTAGTAGGAACAAATGTTTCACGCTGGGTAATGGAGTCCCGGCGTGCTATACGGGCATTTTTTTCGCACGCTGGGTAGAAGAGCCCACGGTTGTGGAGGCGATAGGGCGTGGTGTGGTGATCTCGTTCTTTGGGTGCCGTTGGGGTGGGTGGCACCGAGATAATCCTTCTGCGGTAAGTGTACCGGCGAAAGGGTTCTTTCGTGGGCGCTTGGCGTGGACAGGCGGAACAGGCCCGACCTAGAGCACTGCGGGCGGGCCGTCGTAGAAGCACGAGCGTCGCGAGAGCAGCAGGTGACCGAATGGACTCNGGGGGGGGGGGGGGGGGGGGGTGATCGTCCCGCCCAGTAGGTCGCCGACTTGTTGTGGCGGCATGGCTTGAGCGGGGGGATGCTATTTGTTCTGTTTTGTTACGGCCGTGGAGAGGGTTTCGACAGGGAGCGGCGGCGGTTTCACCACCTTGGAACACCTAGGAGGCATGCATGTGTTGAGACGAAGTCTCGAAGGACGTGCGCTGTTTCACACAGGGTTCGTGTTAGAAGAGACGAGGTTTCGGACATCAGGCCGGGATGTGTGCTGATTTTGTATGCCATGCATTTGTCACCCTTGTCTTGTCCGGGAAAAGCGTTCGATGTACGTAGGCGTGTTCGTTCATGTTTGCCGCCTGCGACGTGAACACCACACAATTTTTGATGATTTTGACTTTTTTTGAGAGCCCTATTGTGGTACCTNGGGGGGGGGGGGGGGGGGGACGCAGATGCTTCACGTCTTTTGTCTATGATTGCGATGGCCTTTTGACGGCAACGCGGGGGAGGGAACTCTGCGGCTTGCTGTAGTTTGCCCACAGGCGGGTGTGGCGGTTTGTACACTTGGATGTTGGAACTCACATTTAGTTGTGTTTTTGTTCGTGGGTTGTGTGGGAACGAAACTTTTCCTGGGGGCGGTTAATATTGTTGGATATCACCAAAAACAAAAAATATATATCAAAGAGATATTACCCGCGCTTCATTGTTTTCACAGGCGAATGATTGTTGTTTTGGGGCAGCCGGGCGTTCCTGTGCGGACATTAGAAGGTACTGAGCAGAGATGGGCACTCTTTTTTCGTGTAAACACAACAACAACGTCCTCAGGCGATTCCCCCCCCCTTCTTTACTCCCTCCTGTATTTTGTCCTTTCGCATGCAAACGGGTGTATTTTGTTTGTCCTTGGGAACGAATCGAATCGATGTTCCAACTCCGCAGAAAATTGGGCCGTTATTTTCTTTGTGAAATCGCGCCCCTGTGGAATGTGATTATTATCTATAGGGTTGGTTTGCTGTACGTCCTCCTCCGGGGCTGGTTTTGTTTTTCGTCCCCATTTTTATGGACTTCGGTCCTTCCACATTTCGGTCCGATTCTGGACGTACCAGCGGGGGTCACAACAGACAGGAGTTGTACCCTACCCCCCTTTTTCCTGCTTGCGTTAATTTTTGGCTGTTGTTAAGTGACTTAGTCCGACCACTGGTGCAGGTAGGTCTGTCGCTGCTTCCCTTTGTTTTCCGTGGCTGTCTTGTCGCCGTGCATGCACTCACCCGTGTGGAGCACAGACTCACCCAGCAGTAGTTTGGTCAACACGAAGGCGGGCGCATGCACCCATCCCCCGCTGTAAGCGCTTGTTGTTTACAGCTGCTCTGTTTTTGTCTAAAATTTGTTTTTCTTCGCGGCAACAACCAACCTTCGTCCAGAACTCTCTCCATCCTGCAGACTACAGAAAAAAATGTACCCATAGTATTTACCAGCGAAAAAGAGCACCACACCCTTCAAAGTTTCCTTGCTTTTCCAGCTGATATTGACACCAGACCCACCCCCCCCATCGGTCTTCTGCCGTAGACAGACGACGACACGGCAGCGGAATACCGCCGTTCCTGCATCGAACACCGCCTACATCAGCTACTACTCATCATCTTCCTCCTCTGTGCTCGCAGCAACTATGCTACCACCCTCAGCTTTTTGCAAATAATAATGAAGGGAGTCCGTGAGCCTCCTATACTACTAGGGTACACAAACCAATCGTACTCATTCTAGCCCGTGAGAGGCAGCTTTATCTTCGTGGCCATTCCCAGCAACACGTTCAACAGTCATCAGACAACACCTTCTTTTCCGCCCGTGAGCACAACAAAAAGTGAGTCAGGCGGTACTGGCACAAAGAACGCACCAGTCTAAATACTAATCCGCTTATTGTCTCGATTGATGTGTGCAGCATCACCTCGCCGGTCGGGGCTGCCTACACGTAGTAAGTTCATTTATCATCGCCGACCCCCCCCCCCCCCCCCCCNCCCCCCCCCCCCCCCCTACAAAACCACCAACACTAAAGTTATTGCAATGAACTACTGTGCCCGTCCAACAACAAATATCCTGGATAAAAACATTGGATGCCCCTCCTGCATCCAATGGCGCCACTACCATCACCACCCCGTATCTGCCAAACAAACAAAAAACTGAGAAAAATGCGATCAAATTTGGAAACAAGACAACACAACCAAAAACCGTCATCGTTGAAACGAAAAACTGGCAGAGCGCGACTCAGTCGGAAGAGGTGGAAACCGGGTTTAATAACACGACCCCCCCCCCGCCAAAACGCGCAGCGCGCCACCGAAAAACAGCAACTTCTCGATTGCCCAGACAACTAAAAACCTACTGTTACAGCTCCAAGATTGAGATTGTGTGTCCTTACTGCCCATGCCCCCCTCCCCCCTTGCGACGTCGCGTCGCCTCTCCCTGACCTGTCACCATTCAAGCAACGTCCTCGTACGTAGCGATGGATCGAAAATACGGGGAAATGGCACATCACCCGCCTGTCTGTCCTTTCTTCCGCAGCCATCCCGCTGGCCAAAAACAAGTGAGATAACAGGATGCACACCACCTCCAATCAACCTCCGCATCTAGTTCCCCACCAGAGAATGACAAGAAAAAAAAAAGCACAAAAAAGAGAAACGATTTCAAGCGTGATCAACACAACGATGTTCCAGGCAGACTTTCCTGGGGCATTTTTACGAAAACCATCAAAACCCTGCCCTCGGAGAGAGGGGCACATCACAGACAACACACAAGTCAGACAGACATCGAAAGCAAGAAGAAAAAAAAAGCGCGTCATCACAAGGTCAGCAGGGCGAGCTCACTGCGCCGTACTCCATCCCCGTCCTGCCCCCCGAAGTACGCCGCCTTCATTTCGAAACCCTCTCCTTCTGTTGCGGTTGCGTCGCACCCTCCTCCGCTGTTGCTATTGCACCGGGCTAAGACGGCCGTGTGTCCCACCCGGAGCCCGGCCTCGTCGGCACCCAGCAGGAATTCCGGGCCGCGGGTCCACTCCCAGAGGTTCGTGTCCAGCAGGTAGGCGTCCCCGAAGTTTTTCACCCCTGAAATTAAAAAAGAAAAAGAACGATGTTGCGTCCCCAAAGTGAAAAAAAAAATAACCAAAACTATCCCGTCTCCAAAACTGGAGAAAACACACACACACACACACACACACATACACACACCGAAACATGGATTGTGTGGTCACATGATTGCAGAGAAAAAATACGCATGATTATGTAGTGGAAACAAAGGTCGTGTAGGTCGTGCACCACTTAATGATGAATTCAATGCTAACCTAACCTGGGCTGCTTATCTGTGCGCATGGAGGAGAGACAAGATGCTCAACGGAAACGCACACGCGTCCTCTGCTGGCTGCTGCTGTGTCTGATGCCAAAAAAGTCGCAACAAAAAGGCTCCACCACATCCCGTTCGACTGTGGGTATACTGTGGGTATACTGTGGGTATACTGTGGGTATACTGTGGGTATACTGTGGGTATACTGTGGGTATATCTCGAACTGGTAGTCTTTCTTTGTGTGTTTTTATTTTTCCTAATAAAAAACAACAGCAAACAACATCAACAAAAACGCCTGCAATTTTTTTTTTTACGGAGACACACCGCACCTCCTTCGTCTTCCGGGTCCCATCCCCCGTGAATAAAGATCGTGTGCCCGTCCGGCAGGAGCACCGCAGAATGACCGGTGCGGGGGGGTGGCGCTACTCCCACCACCTCAGGCGTCGACCACACCCACCGTGACTTGCCTGATTAGAGAAGGAAAGAAAAAATGCAGGGGGGGATGGGATGGGATGGGATTCTGTCGGTCAGGGGGGCGCTCGATACAAAATAATTTAGCCTTTTTCATTAATACCGAAGAGCTTGGGGTATGTAGCCTATATTCATCACCACGTCATTTCTTCCTTCGCGGGGTAGAATGGAGGCCACTTCGGATAAGGACACCTTAAATTTACTGGACACCCAAAAAAAAAGAAAAACAGGCAAGACCACGCCACAAACAACCACAACTACAGCAACGCCATCATCACCACCACCGCCCCCATTACAGCAATAAAAGCTAGGATAGGCTCGGTCGCTCACTCGTGTCGAGGACGTGGACCTTGTCGAAGCTCTCGTTGTGGTTGTTCCCGCCGAACACGACCATCAGGTTCCCCACCACGGTGGAGGTATGGTACGACCGAGGCGCCGGGTTGGAGCCGTCGATGGTCGGGTGGCGCCAGTGCCACCGCTCTGTGTCGAGGACGGCCACGTTGTTCTGCCACTTCCTGTGGCATTTTTTTTTTTTTTTTTGAGGCAGAAGAAGAGACATGGATGGGCGGTACGACAAGTGTTTCGGATCTTATGTACGTGAGATTTTCCATGAGCGTTTTTATGTGTGTGTTTTGTCGTTGACGCGACGGAAAAAATAATCGTTTGTTCTTCCGAGACAGACGCACCAAACGTTGCAGAAGATATCACACCCCTTGGACCGTTCTTCGAAGATCGATTTCTCGGCAGGAAAAGCCGTGGCGGTGCCAAGAATGGCGGCGTTGGAACCGTCTCGACGAGAGCTCTCCGAAAACATTTCTTTTGATTTCGGCATCCTCTTCGTCGTCAAGTAATCGAGCTTTGAAAAATCGGCCCGGGGGGTGTGCTCTCTTATGCAAACTACCAAAGTGTGGTGAGGGAGGGGACCAGGGGAGGACAGGAATGGACGAATAGGAGTGAACGGCCAAAAAAACAGGGAACAGCGATCGATATCACCATACACTACCGACAACGATGGTACGTCAAACCAGCGAGGCGATTCACCAAGCCGACATCACGCACTACCGCACTTCTACAACAAAAAAAACGACAGCAACACCGACAATCTCCACCACCACTATTTTCCAGTAACAAACGGCAATGACAACAATGAACAACAATACCGTCATCGCCACACCGCTATTCTACCAACAACAACAACAACCGCCACGACCACAATAACAAGAACAATCCGTGTGACGGTTTGGTTGCGAAAGATGGTTCGACAGTGTACCTTCCGCGAACGCCTCCGAAGACGACGAGGTCGGTGCCGATGATGGCCGCCGAGTGTCCCGACCGTGCGGTGGGAGACTTGCCGGAGATCGCCGGGGGGTACAGGAGGTCGATATCTGTAACATGTTGGCGATTGGAAGGGGGGGGGGGGGAC